TTTATCGAGATCTACCAGCCCCGATATACAAGAAATGTACATATATACAACCCCTTGCCCCTTGTATAAAAGAAATACAGGTATATTCATTGGGTTTTCTTAATTACTTAGAACAACCACTTACAATAGCACTAAAAAGTAAATCATATTAAATAATTGGATAACCAAAAAAAAATGGTTATATATTATTTATATTTCGTACGCATGCAAAAAATATATTTATAAGATCTGTTAATCAAATTCGAGGAAAATTAACTAATGTATTCTGAAAATATATTCTGACAGTAATATATAAAACATTAAGATTTTAATATGTAACTTTTTTATGATGATCTTTCTCACAGTCAGCTTCAGGAATTTAATTTGTCTTATATTCAAAACTTGAAATATAAATTACCTATGTCCCCGAATTGTCTTTACAAGAGGAAAAACACTTTTTTATTATTACCATTTTGAGAAAAATACATTCTTCATAAAAATTTGTGCTTGTTCTAAAATGGTTAATCCCGTTTAAACTTTTCGAAATTTCCACACCGTTTTAGAGAAAATTACAATAAAGACATCAAAAATGTAGTTGAATTTTTCCGAAAGTAATTGAAGGCCCAAAAATTAAAGTCTATTTGAAGAACGGTAAAGAGAAAATATCTTCCTTTTATATACACGGAAAAAAATCATTTCTATATTCAAGAACAATCATACACTTAAAATTTTACACTTTCTTTAAGGATAGTATTCTTTCCATGAGTACAACAAATATTTGGAACTATTTTACTTTTACACTTGCTTTTTAAATATAGTTATAGTCACTTTAAGTAATTTTGAATCTAATAAAAAGAATAAAATGACTTATATTTAAGAAAAACTTATATTACTATCAAGTGAATAAATCCTTTAGCAACGAAGAAACTATTATTAAATGAAGTATAAATGCTTTTATATAATAATAAATATAATTCTTACCTTTTTTAAAACTTTTACTTGAAATCGGTGTATTAAGACTTTAAATAAGTATATTATTCTCGGCGCGAGAATAACACCCCATTTCCAAGACTTACTATTCTTATATTAAGTGACCATCCCCAACAGCAACAACGCGACAGTGCATTCCTGATTCCTATCTTCATTTGGTTTCTGTTTCTCCTCTGTGACACGAGCTTGTGATATGTTAAAATGGAGGACCTTCTTCAGGCATGGGAGATAACGGATTTGATCCCAAAATTTCAAGGTAATTTTAGCAATAATCCTACATTATTTGATGACATTGGTTTGAGGTTAGGGGGACTCCATTTTAATATGCATTATTTCTTATACATTGGTGGTAAACTAGGTATGTACGCGTTTGGAATGATTCAATTATGTTTTAACAATGTTTATTATCGTTTCTCGTTTTCAATTAGCGATGCCGCTGTTCAATATCTACCTATATTGGGACATTACACAGTTTTATTGTATTTTCTTATTACGAAAAGCATATAATTTGGTAGGTGATGTTTGGCTAATCTAATTTAAAAAGTATTAGCCATATTCGGGGTTATTCTGGTTATATATCAATATTCATTTTAATTTAAATTCCCCCTAACCTCCAACCAATGTCATCAAATAATGTAGGATTTTTGCTAAACTTACCTTGAAATTTTGGGATCAAATCGTCATCTCCCATGCCTGAAGAAGGTCCTCCATTTTCATATATCACAGGCACAAACGATAACAAAAAAACTTTATAATTTTATAAACTATCTAGTCGGCGCGTCTAGTAACTATCCTAAAAGTAAGAAGAGGCTTTATTTTATAGTAGGTGATATTACACTTGAATAAAGTAATTATTACATGTACACAAATTATTTCTATACTTAATGCAATAATTTGCTAATTTACAAATAAGTATAAGTAGTACTCGAAACAAGATTTTATCTCGAATTGTCTGGAGTGTAGTTATAATCTTAATTTCAATACTAGGTAAATCTTAAATAATAGATAAATTTTCTTAGCTTCTAAGGATAAGGTTTTCTTGAAAAGAAGTATAACTAGATTTGCGGAATGGGGAAACTAGCATATCGTTGGTTCAAGATTAATAATCTTTAAGCTTTTTTTCCGTGTACCCCGTACTAAGGTAGTACAATTCCGATTTTATTCTTTGGTAGATCGTTATAATTAATTTTCATCAACGTCATATTTTTTGATGTTTGTTGAAGTATCACATTTCCCGAAAACTAATATCACCCTTTCCGTAGCGCTGAACTAAATAAGTGTTGTGCTTCTATAACATTTTAAAGCAGCAAAAAATATGACGTTAATTAAAATTCTGCCAATAATGGTCTATCAAAGAATGAAAAAGAAATTATATTACCTACCATAGAAACGCGTTTTGATTTTTGGACTTTTTTTTAATTTTAACCATATTATCATGTTTTTTTTAGTTCTGTTAAACGGTATGGTAATTTAAAAAAAAAAATAAACGGCTTTAACCATTTTAGAAAAAGCACAAAATGTTATGAAGTTTTTCTCAAAATCTCAATAATAAAAAAGATTTTGCTCTTGTAAAGACAATCCGGGGACATACTGTATTTTACTGTATGTATAATAGATTCAGGTATAACAATAGTGCATACTTTACATACTCTAATTGAGAATGGAACATACTTTTTTAGACATAACACTACGAAATGGAAAGGCATAGCATTCTAGTTATAAAATATAGAAGTTTTTTATGCAATAACTTTAGAAAAAATGTACAGGTTCTTCAAACTTAGTAAAAATGCAATTTCTAGCGTAAAAACGAAGCACTTTTACGCCCAAGCACAACATGTGACGTTTGAAAAAAATAGCATGTTCTATTCGGAGTACAAATAACTTTTTGTGCCTCGCCTGTAATGTCAAACGTACACACAAAAATTGTCATTTTTACTCCTAATAAAACAACATACTATTTTTAAATAGATACTATTAAAACTTTTTCTCCGTTTTCACGGATTTTTACACTAGCAAATGAAAAATTTGTCTAATGTGACGCCAGCGAAATTAATTTAGTTAGCAGAAATAACCTATTTTACCTTTAATCAATTTTAATAATAAAAAAATCAATCTCTACGAGTTTAGCGATTACAAAGTCATAGAGCTTGCTTATTCTAATTGGTTGGCATAATTCAAAATTGTGTGAGGAAGTAAATATATTCTTGGAGAGTATGACAAAAAAGGCATACTAAAAGAAAAGCATAGAAAACTTTTTTCTGTTTGTTGTTAAGGGTATATATTTATAACGATATTGTCTTTGATCATGAGAAAAATGACGGATTGGTTACGAATAAAAAAAATTGATGGCATCACATTCTTCTATAAAAAAAATCTAAATATGACTAATGCTAAGTGCCTAAATTAATTTTGACAAAGTAATAAAAATATAGTATATTGTTCTATTAGGAGTAAAAATGAGACAGTATGTGGAGAGGCTGTACGTTCGACAGATGAGCGTAGCGAGTCCCACCCTACGGGCAAAGAGAAAGATAGATATACAGAAAGTATATTTTTACTCCCCCGGAATGAAACATTCTATTTTTTTTTTCTCAATCATTGTAAATAAGTCGTTTTAATAAATGTATACCGGGTGCGTCTCAAAAGTGGCTCACCCCTATAACTTTTTTATTTTTATGTATGTTAGTATATTTGACATAAATTAGGGAATGATTTATATATTCAATTGTTTTCGGTCACTTCCGGTTTCACCGGAAATGATTACAACTTTTGATTTTTAAATAGCACCCTCCGTATTTTTTTACTTTATTCGATAGAAAATGACACTCTGAATAGAATGACATATCATACGTCAACTTTTGACATTTTTGCATATGGTTTAAATATGCGAAAGAGAAAAATAAAAATTTGAAATCGTAACATGCGGTTCATAACGATAATTTGACTCGAAATACCAAGTGTGTGGTATCAAATTAATCGCTAATGAGCCACCTTCGTTCCATTTGAAAAAATGGAGATGTGATTAAAAATTAAAAATACGATTTGGGCATCTTTTAACCGTCAAGGACAAGACACTAAAATATTAGGCGAACAAATCTATTTTCCAAGGCTCCTTGATTAAAAATTAGTGTTTTTAACACAGCCATGGCATTCTAGATTGAAATTTAAATACAATTTGTTTTTGAGCGAATATGTTGACATATGATATGTCATTCGATTCAGAGTGTCATTTCCTATAGAATAAAATAAAAAAATAACGGGGGTGTCAAATACAGATCAGAAGTTGTAGGCGAACAGGAAGTGACCAAAAACAACTGGCTATCACTTGTTGAATTTGACACTAATGCCTGGTTTTGATGATACTCGGTTTAGGGTGAGTTGAAATGTAAACCAAGTTCAAAATTTTAATTGTTTATTGAATGACTTGAATGCAAATTAGGTATTTGACTATTGAAATTGAGCCAGCCCTTATCGAAGATTGAACTGGGTTTTTAATCTTATACTACAAGAAAAATATACCTAAATGAACTTTACCACTTGAACTGGAGTTTAAGCTATATTGCGTACAGGCAAAAATGCGTTATGCCTAGGCCTAAAATTAGTTGACGTTTTTATATTGCCAATCGCGTCACAAAATATAATACTTTTGTGACGTTTCCAAAAAAATCACTTCACTATCACAAATTATTATGACTTAAAAGAATTTATAACACAAAATTCATATTTTGCAAAGAAAATCACACTGAAATATACAGTTCTTCCTCTTGATTTTCGTAGTTTATTCGTAAACGAAACATATTCCATGGCCCGAAGCTGAAATTGTCGAAAAATCAGGTTCAAAATCGAATTTCCTGCCTACCGGTACCGCCAACCACCGACCCGACCTGAACAGTACGCACCGACCGCAGGCCGCGAGCCTACGTACCACGAATATTCCTCTCTGACCTAGAGAGAAAACAGTTCTTGGGTTGGAGTTCGGGCCGCGCCAGTCTTCACCGACTCTTTCTTCTCCGATTCAGTCGCGGTGCAGACATCGATCGATACGCCTAGTTCTCGTTCATTGGTGGTGCTGTGGTGTTCCCCTCGTACCTCTTTGCCTCGTCTTCCGGTGAGTACCTTGCCCTTTTTTCGCCCCCCCACTCAACACGCCTGCCCTTTGGAACTATCCATCCCACTTTGGCCAGCTCCGCTTTCTCGTCGGGGGTTTTGGTGCATATGTCATTTTCGTCGCTCCGGTCTGTCACTGGTACTGCCGGTTGTCGCGATGCTGTTAGTGACGGACCAGACGAAGATGAGGAAGAACGAGAAAGTGAGCTCGAAGCGTTCGCCGTCGAAAGCGGAAGATGTGTTATTATTGATGGGTGATGGATAGATAGTTCGCGCCTATACGTTTTCGTTTTCATCGGTATCTGGATTAAACATGTGCCGTCTTACAAATAGGCGACATACTTAGAATTATTCTGAAACAGAATTTAACAACAAAACGTGCAGTTACATCTTGATTAATATCTTCATTTGGGTTCTGATTTTCAAAAAAATATTTTTTATCAATAACTTTTTAAAGATCTTGATAAATTTTTCCTGTTTTTTATGTGAAAATCTGATACCATTATAAAATATTCCCAAATAAAAAAAAGTATCCAATAGGATGAGATAATAATAGAAATGCTCTAATAAAGTTTTAAGAAGTTAAGACATCGAACTAATTATGTACTTTGATCCTGTGCTGTTTTATAACTAAACGTCTCACTTAAAACTATCCTGAAACATAATTCAGTAACAAAAAGTCTAATTACATCTAGATTTAGTATCTAGCTTTATTTGAATTCGGACCTTCATTTCTAATTTTCACAAAATTAATTTTATACATTTTTTTAAATATATTTATAAACTATTTCTGTTTTGGGTACTGACCCAAAAACAGAACTACTAATATTTACTGAAATATGATACCATTATAAAATATTCTCAAATAATAAATGTATCCTATAGGATACCTAGGATATACGTATTACTAATAGGTATGTCTTAGGAAAGTTTTTTGTGGGAGAGTTGGGTATCGTATCCATAAACAGAATTTTGTAAGAAAACGTATAATTAATTTAGATTTAATAGCTTCATTTGAATTAGGACTTTGGGTTATAATTTTCAATAAAATATCAATGTTTTAGATATATTGATAAACTTCTCCTATTATTCTGACGCTAGATAATCTCACATTGTTATAAAATGCCTATTCTCAAATCGCCAAACCAAAAGTATCCAATAGATTTTCATACTAATAGGGATGTCCTAATTAACTTACAGGAAGTTTATAATATATAAATAGAAACCAACAAGAATTTTCAATAAATTATTTTTAATTTTTCATACATCTAGATAAAGTTCTCCTGTTGTGAGATCAGAAAATCTGACTGTTATACTTAGAATTATTCTGAAACAGAATTTAACAACAAAACGTGCAATTACATCATGATTGAGTGCTTCATTTGGGTTCAGACTTTGAGTTCTAATTTTCAAAAAATTATTTTCTATCAATAATTTTAAATATCTTGATAAGCTTTTCCTGTTTTTACGTTAGAAAATCTAATTCCATCATAAAATATTCTCAAATAATAAAAGTATCCAAGAGGATGTCATAATGATAATGTTATAATAAGGTTTTAAGAAGATTACAACACCTTAATAGAAACTAACTCCAAATGAATTAGTTTGAAGCTGTGCTGTTTTTTAAATAAACGTCAAACTTGGAAATATCAATACAGAATTCAGGAGCAAAATGTATACGTCTGGATTTAGTAGCTTCATTTGAATTCGGACCTTGAGTTTGGTTTGGTTGGTTGAGAAAATTTATCTTTTATTAATTTTTTAAATATCTTGGTAAACTTTTCCTGTTTTTAGGTTAGTAATCTGATGTCATTATAAAATATTCTGAAATAATAATAAGTATCCACTAGGATGTCATAATTATAGAGATTTTCTAAGTTTTAAGAAGATTACAACACCTAAATAGCAACTAACTCCAACCTAATTAGTTTGAACCTATGCTGTTTTACAATACACGTCATACTTAGAAATATCCTGAAACAGAATTCAGTAACAAAACTTCATATTAAGTAACATAGCTTTATTTGAATTCAGACCTTGAGTTCTGATTTTCCAAAAATTATCTTTTATAGTTTTATATCTTTATACACTTTTCCTGTTTTTACGTCAGTATATTATCTGATACTATCATAAAATATTCTCAAACATTAAATGTATCCAATAGGATGTCATAATAATGCGGATGTCCTAATAAAGTTTTTTGTTGGTATTGCTGGTATGGAGGGTGTGTTTCATATCCTGAAACAGAATTTAGTAAGAAAACGTATAATTACATTTAGATTTAGTAGCTTCATTTGAATTAGGACTAAGGGAGTTCAAATTTTCAATAAATTATCAATGTTTTAGATATATTGATAAACTTTTCCTATTCTCATGTCAGAGATTGTGACACTGTTATAAAATACCTAATCTCAAATATTAGGGATACTGTTATAAAATGCCTAATCTCATAGTATTAGGTATGTCCAATAAAGTTTATTATATCTAAATAGAAACTAACTAATTTGAACCTGTGCGGTTATACAAATAAAAACGTCATGCTTATAAATATCCCGAAGTAGAATTCAGTAAAAATATCAATAAATTATATCCAGATTTACAAGCTTCATTAAGAATTGAACCTCCAGTAATAATTTTCAATAAATTATTTTTAATTTTCCATATATATTGATTGATTGAACTTCTCCTGTTCTGAGATCAGGAAATCTGGCACTATTGTAAAATATTCATGGATTCATATTCAATATTCATGAATATACTATTGGATCTAAACAAGGATCCAATAGGATATTATAAATAAGAAACTCCAAACTAATTAGTGATTAGTGTGAACTCCGAGCTTTATTTGGATTTGGATCTCGAGTTCAAAATTTCAGTAAATTATCTTCAAATTTTGAGACATCTGTAAACTTCTGCTGTCCTAAGTTCAAAAAATCTGACATTGTTGTAATCTGATCTGTGTTGTAAACTTCAGACTAATTAGTGTAAACCTGTGCTATTTTACTAATAAACGTTATACTTAGAAATTTCATGAAACAAAATTTAGTAACAAAACGTGTAATTACTTTTAAGTAATCTTTAGTTTTAGGAGTTTTACTTGGATTTGGACCTTGAGTTCTAATTTTCAATTTGACATCACCCCGTGGATTATCGTGCTAATTTTACATTAAGAACGATAGTAATGACAGAGTAGAGTCTTAAATAAGTGCAAATATTTTCAGGGCTGGTAGATTTCGATAACAGAAACATTATTTCTCATTACCGTTTTTCAAATAAGTCCAAAATTATCGCGTTATTTTACTTTGAAAATATAAAAAAATAATAACTTTTTCTTAAATTTTGAGAGCCATTGAATCTTTTCTGGGTTTTGTCTACTGTATTTAATCTATTAACTATGTTGCCATCAAGAAACTTATCAAGAAATTGAGTTTTTTGGCTTAAAATTTAAAAAATACAATTTTTTTTTGAGAATTCCAAATTTTCATTTTTTTTTTGGCGAAAGAAGGTGTTTCTGGGTAGAAACATACTATCCCAAAAATAATTTATGAGATATAACAAACTCTATTTGCAAAGAGTTCCATAAAAACAACAGATTATAAATTATATCTATATTTGCATGTTGCTATAACTATATTATTATAAAAAATAAAAATATTACTGTAAAAGGAGTGTCTGACAAAAACAGCGAGTGAAATTTTAGTTAATGTAGTGTTGAAATGTTATATATATTTATGTTCTTTAATAAACGTATACCCCATTTCGGAAAAGCCAATGTGAAAAAAGAATGAAAATAAAATTACTTTAGTTTAATGTATCAAATTTAGTAATGGTTAGTTCGGGACAATTAACGATAAGGAATATTTCAAGGATCATTAAAAATAAAGTAGTCAAAATCACATAAACCCATATTTTTTAATGTTAATAAAATCGACTAGTCTTTAGTATCACTTTCGGTGTCTAGAAATGGAAAACAATAATTACAAAAACCTGTTCCAATATATTAACAAAATTCTATTGTTAGCAACAATGTAAATTAATGTTATGCTTAAGATCTTGTAATTTCTAATGTAATAATTAAATTGAATCATCTTTAATGAATATTTGACAAAATTTCAGGACAAAAAAAAATTAAGTTGAAGTGGACAGTATTGGATATTGAGAGATCTGAATGGAATTATTATGTATCAGTTTTTTTTCTTTTAATGGAAAAGTTAAAGGCCTTGTTCAGTATTAACTGCACTATCGCTAAAAAACTTAAACGCGACATAGAAATGCGTGCGTGTAAAATATTCAATTTCACGTCTAATATTCAATATTAATTTTCCTATTAGACACTTCACCTTCAGCAGTGCTTTTTAATCGGATAAAAATTGTCTTACTGCACCTGTTTAGATTCTGCAATGAAACTTGCTAGACTATTTACCTAACCCATAAATTTCATTTCTTATACGTGGTTGTTTATGTTGAACTTATCACAATAACTGTCTAGTAAAGTCACGTGCATCAGCACGTTGTGTACCTCATTCATTCTAACAAAATTATAGTTGGAAAATTTAATTAATTATTGTTAGAAGGTTGAAATAACGGAGGTAAGTTTTTTCTCTGAGATCTTGAGCTGGATTATAGTACAAAATGATTTAAGGTTAAGAACTTTAGGAACTGATATGTTTCAATTTATTTTATAATAGAAAAGTCTATAACTTTCTTGTGGGTTCATTTCTTGAAAGAAAAATATTATGTTTTTTTTTGCAACTAGACGAAAAATCTATTAAATAAAAAAGGTACTCAGCTTCACTCTACTGAGGTGTTCGTTGAGGAGACTGTTTCAGAAGATTGTTTTTACTTAAATCAAGGAAAATCTTTGATTTTTCTCGGTCGTAAGTTCTGAGGAATTTTTTAAGTGTCTTAGATTATTGGAGGATTCCCATTCCAGTTTACGGGTCGAGTCTTCCTTATGTTCTATTATCCTTCCTTATTGTTCCTTATGATTTTATATTTATT